TTCTGGATACTTGTGTATGCGATTGCGATAGCGCATCAATTGCAGATCTAAATCATATTATTTTTGCTTGCGAAAAATACAATCAAGAACGCATAGTTCTTATTGATATACTGAAATCCAAATATCAACTCCCCACCAATATAAGCTCCCTTTTAAGCATAGGTGACAAGCAAATAATATATTGCTTGGTAAACTTCTTCCAAAGAATCAAAATGAACGTTTAGCTCACAATTAAACTTTATATCAATACATAGAAGTAACACACATCGGTGGATGGATAACTTCCAATGCCAAACCGATCGACAAAAAAAAACGATAGCTGACGATCGTTTTTAAATAGATGCCGGGATACTACATGAGGCAAAAACTCTGAATTCGTGGGAAAATTTGTCCGACTCTACTATTTTTGTTTCTAAGGTGGATGTTTAATGATGCAGCTGCCGGGCAGTAACCGGGTAAAAATTCATTATTATAAATTATAAAAATTGGGATTTTCGCTCCTGACAAAGTTCTGTGGGCTTTTTGGAGTTATAAGCTATTTAATTTCTGTAAAAGCTTATGCTTCGACGTTTTCAGTGCTCAAGGGGAGTATGTATATACAACCGATGAAGCTGGTTGGTCAAATAGTCAATTTGATGGAACAAACAATTTTAACATCAAGCAGATATTTGTTTTATTACTAAGCTAGATCGGATGATAATCCACGTAGGACTCTAAAAGGTTAATCTATGTGATAAATTACAGGTTTTGAGAATAACTTCTGTTTCCGTAAAGTTATAAATCATAGTGTTTAGAGGTGATTTCCGCCGTATCACTTTATAACTATGGAAACTGCAGTATGTCATCCCTTAGCTGCTTAGCCTTTAGGGCCTTACGCGAAATAATACACGATTCAGTTTAGTAACACAAGAGAGATGTATGCTTGCAGCTCAGGTTTTCTCTAACCTAAATTTGCTTAATTGACCAATTTGCATCGCCAATCGCATCTATACAGCCTCCCCTTCAAAGCTTGGTTAAAATTCATCTATTTTGATATTTCCAAACATCTAAACAGAAGTCCAAAGCTTCTATACTACAAGAACCTGAAGGGAACCTCAGGCTTCGTTTTGAATTTTAATTTTGAAACAATGTTTACCCTTGCGTGGTAGGCTAATAAATGGCATACTTTTAATTTTCGCAGACTATACAGTCATGTCCTGTAACATCCAAAAAGCATAATATCTGCTATTCGAAATTTATCTCCATTACATTACTTCCTCACCAGTTGACGTGGAAGGTAAGAAAGCGTCCACTAAAATACTTATTTGTCAAGCAAATTACAGTCGCTGACCGAAGGGTCGTCCCTTTGAAGTGTTAATATTTTATGAAGAGTCATGTATTATTCACCTCACAATTAAGTGAAAAATTCCGTCCCGTTTTTTGGAGCTTCCAAGATATTTCTTACGCTGAAATATTAGGGAAAATAATTAAAATAACTCCTGAAATTTGTAAGCCTGGTATCCGCAGAGAATTCTTAGCAAACTTAATTTCTTGCGCTGTCGCAGATCTGATGAATATACAACTTCCTGTGTTTCTTTGTTCAAAAATATTTAATGATGGGACTCCTACTTCGAGTTAAATCAAGCTGAAAAAGAGGTGGTTTCAGCAGGTTGAGAAACCAATTCAAATTCGTTTAAAATTTGTGATCGTCTGATGGATTGTACAGGGTGTTCCGTATTTAAATGGGCATAGTATGGATTGAAACATCATATGCGAAAATAAAAAACATCAGAATTCGGTTTTTACGGATATACAAGGTGATTTATCTAAACACGCTGAATCTTTGATACTATATATATATTAGTCATCATTGAACCGATTTTACACGATAACAAAGCTACCTAGGAATAACGTAAAGCTAGACGGACGACCCAGGACCGCACTCGATTTTCTTAGCTTTCTTGTTTTTTATCAAAATCAACACATATAAAGCTGAATATTGAAATGTTATTATATGTACAAAAAAGTGAATGAAAGGTGCTAATCAATCAGTCAAATATATTGATTGCGCGTCTTTTAGATTTTCAGTAAAAACTTTTTATTTATTGAAATTTCTTCTTTTAGCAGTTGATGTGACACAACATTCAAAATATAAAGGGTACTCAAGTTTGTTTCATCAACATCCTACAAAATGATGCTCAAAGTTGCACTCAATACATTTTGAGCACTTAAAATTATAGAGGCGGATCCAATATTTTCTTTCCTTGTATTTTATTAAGTGCATCGCCCTGAAAGTTATACTCTGAACGGTTAAAAAGCCGCCTACGTTTATTCAAAAAACATTGTAGCGCAGTGCCTCCTGACGTAACAGCTTGAGTAAATATTTTCAAAGAAAAATTTCCATTTCGGTAGAAATGAGACGCACGAGAGCGTAGAAAACCGCAATGGAAAGATTTTTCGTGATTACCAGGACAAAATATGATAATCTAATACAATATCGGGAAAACAAGACTATAGAAGAGTGGCAGCCTGTCAAAATCTTTTAACGTTTGTAGAACCCAGCCGTCAAAGCTTGTTTTCGGGAGACAGACAAGTTATTTATATATTAAGACAGAGAAAAAACAGAAGTCTTTGGAGGTTAGTCTCTACAGGGTGTCTACTGAACTTAGGCAAACATTCGATGGATTATTCTTTGAACATTTTCTGGTGGAGCAATGCCAACATTACATGTGAGGCTTGCTAATCTGTTTGAAAAGTTATGTGCCAAACAAATAAGAAAAAAGACAGACCTTTACGCGAACGTCTTGTTTACACATTTTACCAGCAAAGCAGTATTAAGTACCCATTCCGATACAGAGAATCGTACAGAAACATCGGTCTAACTTCTGAACGACTTCATCGATTTCCATTGAAAGACCAATGTGGCACTCTTCAAATCAAGCCCTTTCATCTCCCCATTCGCTTACTTTGGGTTGCTCACACCCCCGCTCCGTATCAACCATCCCTTTTAAATTGAAACATCAGGATAGACATAGACATGGCCTGCAATTGAGAAAAAACGCACTTAAATTGGTTCATCCATTCACATATTTTCTATTGTCCCATCGCCTTGAAAATCGTATTGTCAACATATGAGTCTTTCATATTTTGTGCTTGCCACTGTCAGTATGAAAATCTGCTTGGCATGTGCGTGCAAGTTCATCTTTTGTTGACTGATATCATGTAAAATTTATTGGAGTAATTTGGGAGGGTGATGATTACCGACTTCTATCACCTAATTCATATGTGTATGCAAAAATTTGTAGCATCTGCGTTAAAGTTCGGCCTAAGCAGTGTGTAATTTCCCGCATTGAGCTTCAAACATGGTACTGCTATTCAACCTGTTTACCTATTTCGTACGTCAAAAACCGTGAAAAGATCTATAGGCATGATAAATACGTGGCAGTTTAAGGCAGTAGACTATGCCGTTTCCGATCCTACGAAAAATATTTGTCATAACGCAACAACATCATTGCTGTGACTGTCACCAATGTTGTGTTGGTTAAGTACTCGTTTAGTATGTGGCAAGCTGCAGTGATATGGGGTTCAGCCATTTTCTAGATACTCTACAGCAGGAGTTCCCAACCAGGGGGGCGCGCCTCCCAAGGGGGGCATAGAGAGATGTCAAGTAGGCGGAAAGCGTTTGCATGATAGAAAGAAAAAAACAAAAAAAAATGAACAAACAACATTAACAGATACCATGTACAATGTAAAGTTTAATTTACATGCATAAAATTAGAAATTATATATCATATTCACTTACTCTGTCAACCGCTGTTTCAAAACCCGGCATCGTCAATCGCAGTTTATACAAGTTTCAACAAGTCACAACATGAAATCCGCGCTTCAGTTAACACTCACCACTTAGAAAACAACTGTGTACCTACCAGACGCGGATGAGCATCTGTGACATTAATTCCCACAAACATGCGAAACATTTGATGTTTCGATGTACATGTTTAGTTGAGGAATCAGTTGGAGTGTTTCAAATTATTGTGTCTCACTGTTAAAATATAAGCTTGTGTATTTACAAACTTTTGTTACCATTTGTATTTATTTTACTAAATTGTTGATTGAGTGGAGACGCGTTCATAGATCGGCCATTGGGACTTTTTTACTACATCACAATCAAACCAACGTGACGAAATAATTTTGAAACGACGAAGTTTCAGTACCTAATATTGATTCCACATGTATTTAAAATTACTGTTATAACGTCAACCTGCTTACAAAAATATAAATTTCCCGGTGGCCAATATACTGTTGAATACATTACGTTAGTATGGTAAAATAGTGGGCATATAATTAGTAATTACATGTAGGTATTTTGCTTATTTATTTATTACTTATTTGTTTTATTGTTATAATGACAGCAATGAAAAGAAAGACGAGTTACAATTGCCTAGAAAGGCATTTGAAGCAATAACATTCTACTCTGATTTTGAATACGAAAGAGTTTTTTCTTCTAAAGCAGAATCACTCAAGGGAATGAGACTGGATAAATCGGTAAGTTATCACACAGGTGTATCGCAGCATCCCAAAGCTTCATTTGAAATAGCCCTTGTGTCAGCAAAGCAAAAGAAACCTCATACTATCGCTGAAGAATTAATAATACCATGTGTCCTAAAAGCCACGCAGATAATTTAAGGAGAAGATGCAGAGCAAAAAGTGATGTCTATTTCTCTTTCAAATAACACAGTCAAGCGTAGAATCGATTACATTGCAGCCGACGTAAAGCCACAAATAATAAACAAAGTAAAATTATCGCCATGTTTTGCCATTAGTTGCGATGAATCAACCGACATCGTTAATTTTGCACAGTTAATAGTTGATGTTCGTTACATCGGCCGAGATATCATTCAAGAAGAGATTTTGTACTCCCAATCTTTGACAGCAGGAACTACATCTGAAGATCTATTTAGGTCAATATCAAATTTTGTTGAAAAAAGTGATTTTGATTGGAAGAAACTCATTGGGCTGCAATGATAGATGTACGATCGGGCTTAGCTAAAAAGTTCAAAGAAAAAAATCCGGCAATGGTTAGTACACATTGTGTTAATCATCGGCAAGCTTTGGCTTTCACAACTTTGCCACAGAATTTATGGCAGACTTTGGACTCGGCTATAAGGATTGTAAACTACATCAAGAGCAGCGCTTTGAACAGACGTTTATTTACTTTACTTTGCGAGGATCTCGATTCTGATCACGAAGTTGTTCTGTTCCACACGGAAGTACGCTGGCTGTCCAAAGGCTACATGTTGGCTCGCCTTTATGAAGTGAAAGAAGAGGTAATTCTTTTTCTTGAGTTCAAAGAAAAACACGATTTCTTGACAGTGTTCGAAGATGACACATTCCAGTAGAGGTTGACTTATTTAACTGACACATTTGACACATTGATTGAGCTTAACTTGAAACTTCAGGGCAAAAACAACACTATAGTAAGCAATTATGGTTATATTCAGGGGTTCATATCAAAGCTTCAACTTTGGAATCAAAAAGTGTCTTCTGAAAATGTTATATCGTTTTCTCGGCTGTTCGAAGCAATAAAAAATAACTTACTGGACACAAGTTTAAAAGCTGACATAAAAACTCATTTGCAAGCGCTGGAAGGCGAATTTCGCCGATACTATCGAGACATCAATTCAGAGTCACCAATATGGCACATTACAAGGAATCCATTTGTTGTCGATGTGTAACAATTACCAGAAGAAGTTTAGGACGAATTTCTAGAAGTGAGGGCTGATTCGTCCATGAACGATGACTTCCATCTTTAAACATTGGAGAAATTTTGGATCAAAAGATTGCCTGCTAATTTGACACTTGCCTTTCTGGCTTTACGAATACTAGTTCCTTTTTCTTCAACTTACTTATGTGAAACAGGCTTTTTTGCTCTGGTTTTAATTAAAACTAAACAGCAAAATCGTCTTGACGTCGATAGGTCCTGATGATGCTCTGGCAAAAACAGAACCTAGAATCAACCAACTAGTACGGCACATGCAATCGCAAGTGTCTTATTAGTAGCTACTTTTATTTTATTCAAGTTTTTCGATAAAAACATTTATTAGTTTATTTAAACTTTTAAAGTTTCTATATTAGAATTAAAATAAAGTCGTTGTACCTTTATAACGTGCGTTTTTTTGTATTTATTAAAAAAGTAAAAGGAGGGCATGAAAATTTATAGTCCGGGGAGCCTCAACAAAAAAAGGTTGGGAAACCCTGCTCTACAGTAAACTAGCAGGCCTTCGTTGGGCAATTGTACCGGAAACCTCTCTGCCTATCGCTAGTCAAGCCGTGATGTTCGAGATACTTCAGAAGCTCCATACTTATACACATATTCATCACCTTTCTAATACCAGAAGGCAGGGTCATAGGTCTCTAGTTGTAAGTGTCGCCATATTTTTTTATTGGGACGGGCTGAACATGGCTAATATGTTCAATTCTCTAAGACCCTACCACCGCCTACCACTTGCGAATAATCACAACATCCATAGCCAAGAGAAAATCTCTCTTGGGACGGGATTCGTACCCGCGCAGCTCACGGCGACTGCCACCTCGCTGCCTCTTCGCTGTGTATACGATGGCAAGGCTGCCTAGGGACCATAAGTGTTAGGGACTCGGGACCTATCAATTACGCTCTTAAAGCAGAAGATTATTTCTTGTATAGGAGGAGAGGAGAGGATGGCAAGCACTAATGCCTTAGCGTTGTAGTCGGTCACAATTGTTCAATTCTGGCACGTAAGCGAAGAAAGGCTAACCTTTGGCAAGTTTCCACGCATGACACCATCCAGACCAGTTCGCTGCTCAAGTCTAACTCTGTCGGACTCCGTACATCGAGAACTGGCTAGTACGGCAGATCCTTTCTATGATGCCGAAATCAACCAGCAATCTGCAACGGTCAAATTTGCGCTATCCTATTGGCCAGCGGACCATAAATTCCTGGGTAGGCAGTGACAAGCAAATGAAACCAGCGATGTGTGCTCACGCTCAAAGGACTCAACATGCTAACCGTAGCTGTGTAGGTAAGCTTGGTAGGTACGATCACTAATTAACTTATTATTAGCAGGTGGAATACGTTAATCAGAAGTGTTACATAAGATAGGAGGTGTCGGAAACGTGTCAACAATAGACACCTACTGTATGTTGCTAATTAAACCGAGATAGTGTATTGATATTAAGCGGGGCTTACACCTAAAAATAAGTGCGTACTTTTAATATGTATTCGATGCACATTCCACTCAAAACAAAACAACAAACAATATACTCTGTTTTGTTGCCGTGCATTAAAGTTTTTTCAATTCGTATCCGAACAGCATCTGAATCTCATAATTTCTGACGATTATAAATTTTGATTGGTCTTTAAGAGCTCCAGTGAAAGCTAAAAAAGGTACTTTGGAACACGATGACAACTTTAATATTTTGCATAAATCATTTTTGCTTTTAAAAGATGTTGGCGTTGGGTATACAATTCTGTTAACAGACCCTATATTGAGTATCCAAAGAAACAAGAGGTGGAATAAAATGAATCAGAATAACCTCAAACTGTCTAGGTAGAAGTACAACAGTAGGATTGTATGAAACCCACGCACTTTTACATGTGTCAGTAGAAAAGTACTAATATAAAGTGAAATGTCAAGATACGACTTGCAGTTTTAATTTGCATCCGGACTACTGACTACTTAGTTTTGGATCAAAGCAAATCGTATGTTTGCTCCTTCTACCAAGTCCGATTTCATTGGTCTAATCAGAACTGAAGGACGGTCCATCTGTGCTCCATGTGCTAAGGTAAGGCAAGACGTGTAAAACTTCCTGGACGAATATGTCTCGTACTGCAGTATGAAGCACCTGGTCATCGTATGCAATGGATTTGAAAGTGAGAACGCGTATTTAACGGTAAGAGGTAAGATATATTAGATCAAGGACTTCAAAAGATTAAGAAAAAAAATCGTAGGTGATTGTCGATGGACGACATGGAGTCAACAAAAGGTATTAATGGTGGCCTAGTTGCCTGGCTTCGCCGTACTCAATCTTAATGACAGTTTCAAGAAGCTTTTGTTTCGCAAGTTCAATATTTGCTTCTGTTTATCTTATATCTCGAGTGTCGTCGAAAAGTTTTAATGAAATCTACAGTAAGCATCAAGGGAATATCGATTACAATGTAAAATAAGTTGGTAGATTATCTTCGATTAAGATACGCACCTCGGGCCTCTGCCATGAAGTCTTTGTCATTAGTGAAATTTAACGTCAGCTAAAAAAAGAGCTTATCGCATTTCCCTGAGGGGCCACGCGGTCCGCCTATTATACAGGGAGCTGACTCGGAACAAGGGCTTTACCAAAAGCGTCAACAATTTGTTTCAGAGTGCTTTGGAGAACACATACGAGGAGGTACCCAAAAATAACCGGAATAGCATTGCACTGGGCGGAGCTTGTGCAGTACACATCTCTGCCCCTAGAGGCGTACAGCGCAACTCATTACCAGTTCAGTGCCACCTGAGTTGTCGATCTGGCTTGTTTCGTTCGTCTGTAGTCATTTTTGTTAGAGCTGTTTCGTGCTTGTTTCGTTTTTTTTGATAACAATCTTCAGTGAGCAACGTGCACCTGTGAAATTTTGCTTTCTAATTGGTAAAAATGCTGCTGAAACTGTTTCAATGTTGAAAATAGCTTACAAAGATGATGCTTTGGGAAAAACTCAGTTGTACGAGTGGCTTGCTTGATTTAAAAATGGCTAGATTGCGATTGATGACAAACCTCGCACTCGACGTCCATCAACTACCCGAATCGATGAAAATGTTGAAAAAATTCGAGAGCTTGTGTTACTTTGAGGTTTTGAGACGATTTCGAAACAGTGTGTCAGCCAGGAGACTGGTTCTTCCACCACGATAATGCAGCTGCGCACACAGCCATCTGTGTTCGACAGTTTCTGGCTAAGCATGGCATGGTTTCGCTACCTCACACACCATAAAGGCCGACCTGGATCCATGCGACTTATTTACTCTTATTTCCACGGATGGAAAGGGGCATGAAAGATCGCCGCTCTGAGGACATTGAAGTAGTCAAGCAAAAAACGAGGGAAGAGCTGACAGACATTTCTGGGGATAAGTGTGTTAGTTGTAGTGGACAGCATTTTGAAGGAGATAAGGTTACTTTGTGGAAAAGTTGATAATAAATGGCTTTTAAAAAATAATTCCTGTTTTTTTGGGTACTTCCTCGTATCTCTATTTAAGTTCAACCAATGAACGCGGATTTGTCAAAATATAGGGTTTAGTAATACTTACTTTTTATTTTTTATACTGAAGCAGAAGTAAAGTTACAGCCTAAATACCGAAGTACAGTGACTGCTATAAAGCGGTTTTTCGTACATTATTGTATTCCAGCTGAAGGTACCCAATTAGAATGCACATGAGGTACCAAAAAAGGATTAAAGATCTCACTCTTTTCAATGTACATTTCTAAATCCATCTTTGTGTTCTGCTACTGACTCATAGATGGCTCTAAGACCTTTCAGATCCCTTTTAATGCGCCGGAATACAATAGATGGTTGGCTATCTTACATTCTCGGCCTGGCGAATCCATTAAAATGCGGCACATCGATGTAAAAAGTATAAAGCCGCATACAGACATCGCGAGGCATGCCTCAACCTGAGGAATACGACGGTGCATGTATACGTATGCATGCGTCCTGAACGACACATGCTGAAGCTGAGCACGCCAGCGACCACGCACGGTATTCGTCAGTAAAAAAAATGTCTCCGGCAAGGCGAGAGGTGCAGATTGCAGATTATTGTGATATTTGACGCCACTCGTCTTCCCTTTTACATTTATTGTAATAATCAGAGATTCCTATAACATTCTGTTATTTTCATAAAGTTGGACAAGTTCACGCAAATAACACCCGTCCGTCCACACAGAATGCAAGGCTCGCACTGAGGCGGCGTTCGCAACGATCGTATCGTCGGTCTCCGCACGTACAGGCGTAAATGACAAATAATCTAAAATCGAGTTACGCCGTAATTTCACAGATTTTTTTGTAGTCTCTTACTTCACGAAGTGACGTAGCTATATATCAGTTCGCTGATAAGAATAAAAATTTTCAGAAAATTTCCTAAGTTATGAAGTTCCGAAAACAATTTTTACGTACCGGCTTAAATAGATTTACGCCTCTGCGTTAAAACTGGTTCTACAACACTTTAGTCTAACAAAAAGAAACAGCAACCTTCAGGCTGAAAAATCAGTATGTCACTTTCAATCTCATTTATTGGTGATTTTCGTTTTCTAGCTCTCCTGTAAAATTTGTAAAATAGGTACGTGCGGAGACCAACGGTATGAACGCGAATGCTCACTGTTAGCATACACGTCCATACAG